ACACACTCACTCACACACACACACACACACACACACTCACACACACACACACGACGCATTACTCTGCGCTGCGCAAAACTCCGCATTTGAACAGTCAATAGCAAATACTTAAACTAATAACAAAGAATATCTCTTTGGATTTGAGACTTTAGTCTTTGCAACTTTACAGATCTTCTTTATGCACCAAGAGCTTGTAACACTCCAAAGAGAAAGGAACAATTGAAATCGCATCATATGACCCCTTTAAATATTTTTGCAGAAAAGATGCATGAACTACAACTAATTATACAAACTCGTCTTATACATATGTTCAGAAATAATACGAGGAAAATGCTTTAAAAATTCTCAAAAGTCAAGGTAATTCAAATGTAAAAAATGACTGAAGGTATAACACCAGTGTCTACATTATTAACCAGTGCCTAATATTAACTTTAAATGCTCTGTAAAAACAATGAACAGCAGCTTCCAGTCTGTCACCGTGATGCAGACATGAAATATCAGACATACACTAGTAGTTCTTTACAGGTTTTTTTATTTGATTGCGCTGCTTTCCCCTTGTTTTTTCTGTGTAAACATCTTCTTGCATGCGTTTCCTCTTCCACTGCTGCGTCGCATCTTTGTCAACTCAAAAGCGCATTCAGTGTGAATGACACCCAGCGATATATTAATGGTCCTTCACTGAGCGCGTCACACATGAGCGGTTAATCATTCTCTTCTCTTTACTGTTATCATATTGGCATACTGTCAAAGTGTCTAATTCTAACGTTTGGTAATATTTCTATTCAAAATCATGATTCCTCGATTTATAAAAAATAAAATCCTGGCAAAACATTAAATTCAAATTAATCAATAAAATTGGAAAAATCACCCAGCCCTAGCCACAATAAGCCACAATAACACTGAGTGCTACACTAACAGCTAAAGAGCACTAAACTCTGTTTAAAGCGATGCATGTTTAGTGCTGTCATACTAACACGCTGGTGTGTGATGTTCTCCCGCAGGCGCAGGCACTGACTCCTCCAGACTATAACCTGCGCTGGTCCGGTCTGCTGGTGACGGTCGGGGAGGTTCTGGAGAGAAGCGTGCCCAACGTCAGCCGCACAGACTGGCACCAGGCCTTCACTGGCATGTCCCGCCGGCAGATGATCTACTCCGCCGCCAAGGCTCTGGCTGGCATGTACAAACAGCGCTTGCCCTCCAGAACAGTGTGAGCATCTTACGCCGTCACGTGACACGGACCACAGCTTCCCAGAATCACACGGGAATCCACATCTCATCCACAGATGTCCTGTGTTCTCAGTCACGTCCCATAACAAGACTGAGCCCACTCTAAACGCCAAAACAAATAGAACCGTTACAGGGCAGAATAACTAATATCTAACTTTTAAATTATTGATTGAATTGAATATCATGTCCTTGATATTATATTTGAGTTGGATTGATATTAATAATTGACAAAGGTCCCAGTCTCCACGATGGAATTTGATGGGAATGAAACCACGATTGCATCTGATGTCCTACAGCAAGACCGTTTGCGCTTCTTCAAATGATCAGATCTCACCAAGGAAAAGATGATTCTTAAATTCATAACGCTTGTGTTTACATTTACAATCAAATACTTTGACTTGCAGATTTTTAAATTGAATTGTTGAAGTTCATATCAATATTGTGAATGTATAATTTTGATGCTACGGTTTTGGATCTTATTTTATAGCGTTTTCTTTTCAGCCTAATCAGCAAACATTGTTACAGCATTGTGTTGGTCTGCATGTCCGTTTCTTTTTCAACTCAGTCCATGCTAGTCAGCGTTCACAGATGTAATCAGATCACCAGCTCTGCTGTTACTGTAGATGTTACAGTCAGAAATACTGCAGATGGGTGTTAGCGATGATGTGCAGCAGGATCATTGGCTGCCGGAGCATGACCTCTGATGTGTAGCACATGCTGTGTGTTTGCTCTCGTGGACTGAAAGAGTTGAGGACAAATCTAGAACTGCCTTTAAAAGTGTCTTTATATGTTTGTAAGATTTCTGTAAGATTTAAGTTCATATCAATATTGTGAATGTATAATTTTGATGCTACGGTTTTGGATCTTATTTTATAGCGTTTTCTTTTCAGCCTAATCAGCAAACATTGTTACAGCATTGTGTTGGTCTGCATGTCCGTTTCTTTTTCAACTCAGTCCATGCTAGTCAGCGTTCACAGATGTAATCAGATCACCAGCTCTGCTGTTACTGTAGATGTTACAGTCAGAAATACTGCAGATGGGTGTTAGCGATGATGTGCAGCAGGATCATTGGCTGCCGGAGCATGACCTCTGATGTGTAGCACATGCTGTGTGTTTGCTCTCGTGGACTGAAAGAGTTGAGGACAAATCTAGAACTGCCTTTAAAAGTGTCTTTATATGTTTGTAAGATTTCTCCAGAACAACTGTGGATGATTTTATTCCATTGCATTTTACAAACGTGCCTTTGACCAGCAAACAAGTAAAAACTTTTTGTAAAGCATCATGTTTTTCCGTTGTGTTTTTGATGTGTATTCAGTGCCTTCAGGAAACTTCATCAGTCATGTACTCTTTTTACTAATCTGCAGAGACCGTTCTGAATGACATTCACTGCTATGAGTTTGGGATGGAATTTATCTGTCAAACAAATGGAAGATGCAGTTTAGAAACCTGATTCAAACAATTATATTTTGGGCAGAAATTGCATGTCATTCTTGTATGGGGGTTATGACTTAACGGGGACGGCTTGGATTTGCATCAGAACTTTTGGCTTCATTGGAGAGACGCTGGAGAATAACATCCTCTTTCTGCCGTGCCTTATGTCCTCTCAGTTCATAGGTTTATGAATTGATTAAAACATGATTAAAAACCTAAGTGAGGACAGAATGGCCTGTAAGCACATCTAAATGTCGTCCTTCGAGGTACTCCTTCGAGGTCCTTCTCCAGAGCCCATACCACAGCAAGACTCTCTTTCTCAGCTGTAGAGTGGGACTTTTCAGCAGCCTGCAAGTGTATGCTGCTACATCTTCACCTTGTTCCGTTTCCTGCGTTAATACAGCTCCTAAGCCAATGCACTGGCATCTGTTTGCACTCTGAAGAGCTGACTGAAATCTGGAGGACTAAGTATGGGAGCTCTTTGCAGGGCTTCCTTTAGTTTAGACGCTCAAATGATTGTTGGCGCTCCCGAGACCATACCCACAAGACATGCTTCTCTTTAAGGGCATGAAGAGGTGCTGAGTGCTCAGAATAGTTAGGTATAAAGTGGTGATACAAAGCCAAAGAATCCTTCCTTCTGAGAGGACTTCCTTCACATTCTTGGCAGTTGGCAAGTTATGGATGGCTTCAGCATTTAGCTCAAAGTATACTTCACTTTTTAAGCGTACGCGAGGGTCAGCGTACAGTGCGCGTGATGCGAATTTTGTCATCAGAATAGTACACACACCATTTGATTTTTATGTGCAGGTCGCACATGCACATTGAAGTTATTTTGCTGTAATCAGTTGTTGCACAAGGTGGCAGCACTGTCGCGGGCTGGTGTTTCACAGTAGAGAACGAAATTAAAGAGACAGAACAACAACAACAACAGACAGCTGCATTGACAAGCGCTTGTGAGCGAGAGGATATGAGAGAGCCTAGATTTGGTTTAAAAGAGTTAAAAAATATTTGTTATCGGTCATAACTTGTGGGGAAAGATAGAGCAGACTCTGGACATGGATGAAGCTTTCAAGAGCACATGTATTGACTGCCCACAACAACACGCATTCGCTAGCGTACGCATACAAAAACCAAATATACTTTGTGCTTTAGAGGGTTCAGTCTTTACACTTCCTTCTGAGATGACATGACCCAGGAACGAAAGGGACCTTTTTTAACAGGTTACATTTTTTTCAAGTTTCCAGTTTTGCAAACAGCTGCCCTAAATGCCCAAAGTGATCCTGAACATACACAACGCCGGATACACGACCATGTCGTCTGTATAGACGAAACAACATCTACCAATGAGCTCCTGTAAGATGGTAAGCAATCAAGTAGCGATTTCAAGTAGGGGGGTAATAATTTGGCAGGGAGTCGAAAATGGACACAACACCGGCGCCTCCATCTGTCCTGCAGTGAGCTACTGTTCAGTTTCCACACTCCACAGACACTTGAATAGCAGACATTTCTCTAGGCTAACATTAGATTGAGCGGCCGTGCAAAGTTGCCAATACTTACATATTTCTGACGATAAGCCATATTTGAGGTCGATGAATGATAGTCGAGCATTTGTCCTGCCCGTCGATGTACTGTATTACCAGACCAGCCGTTAACGGTCTGAGCAGACGTACTCACTTTTTCTTGTTGGAGTACTGCAGGTTTCTGGAAATGTAAGCTGTTCTTGCAGCTCGCTGTTCTGAATTAAAGCATTTGGATGATCTTTTATGTTAATGACATTAATTAGGAGTTTACAAGGCAGAGAGCTGAAACCATTCAGTTGCGCACAAGTTCAAGATCATTTACGATTCATAGATTTCACATCTGAGAGGCGTAGGTGTGTTTTCTGTGCATATGTTCATACTGTGAATCACACGTACGCATATTTGAGAGATGATCGCAGGTTCAAATTTAGGATGGTTTCTGCGCAACATTTTATAAATGAGGCCCCTAGACTCAAACTCAGGATAAATATAACATAACTAAATATTACACAAATAACAGATCTTTTCAAAAAACACATTAAATAGCACTTAATTTCAACATTTATGCTCCTGATACAGCCCTATGCAAAGCATGCTGGGAACTAGAATGCCACTGCCCAGTTTCAGTCAATGCAACAAAAATGCTTCATGTAGTCCCAACACAAATGGATTAAGTTAGCTTAACATTTCACAAGTATAATTTAATTTAACAAATAAAATACAACTAAATGAAAGAGACATTAAAGATTTGTGTTGCTTTAGCTTACTTTTTTTAAGTAAACTGAGCAAACAGCTAAATTCATGTTTTTACAGTGCAATAGAAATATAGAGAGGAAAAACAATTGTTTAATGGATGTACAGATACACTATTTGTAAGTGTACTGTTTATGTAATTTACAAATAAACAATTTTTAGGTTATTTACAAATGCATAGTTATGGTGGATACTGTATAGTCATGAGAGTTTTAACTGTTCAGGCTGAATATAGCCTGTTGGGGGGAAAATGATCTAGTGCCTGGCTGTTCAGGTGGTCAGTGCCCTGTAGCAGCAGCCAGAGGGCAACAGTTCAAAGAGAGAGTGGGCTGGGTGTGTCATCTTTGCTGTTGCTCACAGGTTTTTTAATCTCGCATAGAGACACTGAGGAGTTCAAACCATACACCCTAAATCCAGCGCAGAGAGACTCAGTGAATGTGGAGGTGAATGTGTGCAACTGTGTGAGTGTGTGCGTGTCAGAGACACTGTAGAAGGACAGAGTGCCATCTGACACGTCCACGTACACTCCTACTCTCCTACATGAGCCTAAAGAGACACGTATGTCGGTGAACTTGTTATTGTGACACACAGTGAATTTGTCATTAGAGCGTCTCAGACTCCAGGAGTTCTTATTGCGTCCAAACACACAATCATCACTCCGTCCTTTCCTGTTGATTCCTTTATATGTCACTGATATAACAGCATCTCCACTCAATTCAGCCTCCCAGTAAGAGCGTCCAGACAGACTCTCTCTACACAGAACTTGAAGAGTCTTGTCAAATCTCTCTGGATGATCAGGATATGACTGATATTCTCTCACATGTGTCACCTTTCTGTTTTCCTCAGACAGAATGAGATGATTGTGTGCTGTGTCTGGATCCACTGTGAGATCACAGGCATCTGAACACAAGAAGACAGACATTTATATATCAAACACTAAAGCTGTGTGTGTACTAGTGAGGCGCGGACGAGATAAAACGTCACCCGAATCTGCAGCTTCAAACTAATTATCCACCCACACCTGTATTTTTGTCTGATTTAGATAACCGCACCCGATCGTCACATTCAGGGTTCATACGGTCATGAAAAACCTGGAACAGTCATGGATTTTAAAACAGCAATTTCCAGCCCTGGAACGTTTTGGAAAAAGAAATAAACCCAGAAAGAATTTCACAATTCTCTGTATAATAGAATTATGTTTAATCAGGTCCTGAATCAGGTCCGCAGTCATTCTCATTCACTTCTCTCTTTGACCTTCTCTTCACATCGGTGCATCTAGAGCTGCTGCTCGCTGCGATACAAGACTTTAGCTCGTGTCTCGGTGCACTCGGGGGAATTCTGAACGCAGGTGCTGAGGGGGTGCTAGATAAATGACAGGGGGAGCTGAGCATTTAATAGTAAATATGACCAAACAGGTTATTGTTATTATTATTTATATTAATAACAACATCGCTATATAGGTGAATTTCAAGTGTTAATGAGGAGTGAGGGAGTATTATCATGCTTAGCTACTATAACATGCATGGGGGCGCCTGGGCAATAATTTTTTTTTTCCTGCGGAAAGAACTTAAAGTACTCCGTCATTTTTGGATGTGCTTTCTGCTGTCTCTCATGCAGGATGGAGCGCGTCACAACAATGAGCCACACCGGTGTAGTGCCGAATTCTGCACCCTGCCAGATTATGCATCCCCTAGTATTGGTCGGTTAAGGAGTAGGTGTGGGAGAGGGGTTAGGATTAGGGGTGGGGTTGGGATTAGGCAATCAGATAGCGATTTCAACGAGGGGATGCATAATCTGGCAGGGGTGCAGAATTCGGTACAACACCGGTGTTTGCAGCCGACACCGACTGAGAAAGCACTAGTTTAGTAATAAATATTTTAAATGTCTCCTTTTCACCTGACGCATTCATAATCATTACTTTTGCATGGAATATAGGCTATAATACGCCTAAATGCTTATTAAAAGATGGTTTAGTAGGTTATTATATTAATCAATTTAATATAAACGTCTAGTTAACTAGTCGGGGGTAGGCCTGCTTGGCACAAGGAACCGATCCATTTTTAAAATAAAATGCTATGACATTACGAAATGTGCAACTGCAAGTCACGTTGTATTGTATGGGGTTGCTATGGTCTTTTTAGGGGGTTGCTGGAGCACCTGCTATCCCGCCGCCCATAGGTACACTGTACTGGGTACAGTTGACAGAATTGTCACTTGCCTAATCGGTCATTGTTGCATCGCCACAAAAATTTATTATTTTCACGTCTTTTTAAGTCATTCGGTACTCGTGCGCTCCAGAGGCACTTTTTGTGCGTTCAGTCACATCCAAAGTGCGCGCTGCGAGTACCAAATTGAGCTTGTTGCTCATAAAGGGTTAGTTCACCCAAAAATGAAAATTAGCCCATAAATTACTCACCCTCAATTCATTCTAGGTGTGTATGACTTTCTTCTTTCAGACGAATCCAGTCGAAGTTATATAAAAAATGGTCTTTGATCTTTCAAGCTCTATTGTTGTACTCAGCGGGTGTTGCAGTGCTTCGGTTCAAAAGACGTGAAATAAAAAGCACCCTTCCACAAAAAAAAGTAAGTGTCTCACACGGCTCCGGGGATGAACAAAGGCCTCCTGTAGCGAATCCATGCGTTTTTGTAAGAAAAATATCCATATTCAAAATGTAATAATCACTTTAATCTAGCTTGCGCCAGCAGTTGTACACAGAAGCAGCTCCGGGAGCATGACGTATGAGGTCAGCGCTGCACATGCGCCGGTGAGTCTCGTGAAAACCAACGTTTGTTTACAGGAGCAAAGGAAGCAAAGTTTCCTTACTTTAGCAAAGGAAAACCAGTGTCCTCTTGGCTTATATCCAAATCCTCCGACATTCTTCTTTACAAATCCTCGTTTTGTACTTCTAATTAGTGACCGTTGTTTTGTTTCGATCTCTCCGAGTGTGTCACTTCTGAGCAGCGCATGCGCAACGCCGACCTCATACGTCATCCGCCCGGAACTGCTTCCGTGTATAACAGTGAGCGCAAGCTAGATTCAAGTGATTATTACATTTTGAATATGGATATTTGTCTTACAAAAACGCATGGATTCGCTACAGGAGGCCTTTGTTCACCCCCCGGAGCCGTGTGAGACACTTTTTTTGTGGAAGGGTGCTTTTTATTTCACGTCTTTTGAACCGAAGGAATGCAACACCCGCTGAGTGCAACGATAGAGCTTGAAAGATCAAAGACAATATTTAATATAACTCCGACTGGATTCGTCTGAAAGAAGAAAGTCATGCACAGCCAGGATGCATCGGGGGTGAGTAAAACACAGCCTAATTTTCATTTTGGGGTGAACTATCCCTTTAAGCGGCCAAATACACACAAAATTACATCAAAATGGTCGTCCTCGTCCTTCTCATAAGCGCTGTCGGTTTTGTCTTAAGTTAATGTAAACGGTTGCGAAAGGCCTATTGGATCTGTGAAATAGGTCTTGTGACAGCAGCCTAATAAAGCTGTGCTGTCTGTCATTAATATTAATCAAACAACAAAAGACAGAGAAAATCCTTCACTGCTCTTGACTAAATAATGTTTTGTTGAATAACTTTAATATGTTAATTTACCGTTTTTTCAATTTTTGTAGCCCATTTAAAACACATTCATATTTTAGAAAATGCAGCTAATATTTCCATCATTAATGATTTATCTTATTCACCCGCGAATAATCAAAATGCATTTTTTATTACCCGACCCGCAGATATAACCGCCATCCGCGCATCACTAGTGTGTACCTACTTAACTAGAGGTTAGAGGTTGTAAAATGTATAACTATCTGCATATAAAAACAATAAAGTCTATGTAATGTCCCCATTTAGAAAGCTAAGTAAACGTGTGTGTGTGTGTGTGTGTGTGTGTGTGTAGACATACATTTTTGTAGTCCTGCTGTAATCCTGAACCCTCCTCCATGATCCACACTATAAAACACACAGTGTCATATTCAGTCAGTAAATCCACATAGTGCAGGGTTGAATGATTAATCAATTATTAATTATAAAAATTATATTTCCAATTACTCCTGATAAATAGATTATAAAAATAGATGCATTTTTCTGACTCATTTCTAGAATACAGTTGGGTATTTGGGATTGTTAGTGTTCAGCACCTATAGGACTAAATGTATAACTTAGTGGTTCCCAACCACATTCCTGGAGGCCCCGCAACACTGCACATTTTCCATGTCTCGTAACCAAACACACCTGATTCAGATCATCAGCTCATTAGTAGAGACTCCAAGACCTGAAATGGGTGTGTCAGACAAAGGCAACACACCCTGCGTCTCAATGTTCATACTATCCATCCTAAATAGTATGTGAGATTAAAATAAGTGTGTCCCAAAACATAGTATGTTGATGATCTACTATTTCCGGTAGGTTTTCAAAGTGTGCATTCATGCACACTATAAAGGCTAATATAGCCCACAGCCCACTGCACTTGGACGAGGATTTGTTCAGAACTACAAACACGAGTACAAACCGTTAAAAAACTATAAAACATGGCAGATTATCGCAACTGAGGATGAGTGACTAATAATCTAAATTTAACCTGATAAAAAATATATATTTAGTGTTATCCGTGTTGTATTTAATCTGCAATAGCTTATTTATTTTTTACTTATTTTTAAATGCATCATTATCCATTAATATGAAGAGAGTCTCCACATGAAAGACCCACTTTTTCTTTTGAAAAGTAATGAAATGTGGAGGATAATAACTGTGACAAGATGATTGACAGGTCAGTTTATGGTGTCAGGATGCATCAGAGAGCGTCCGTAAAAGACAAAGTTTTAAGTTTTATGATGGGATAGTATGTCCCAAAGCTTGCCTACTCTTTTGCTACACACTCAAAGGTATGTACTTTTTCTTCAGAAAAAGAGTGCATAATTTTAGGGCTTAGTATATGTAGGTGAATTGAGACGCAGGGATACAAAATATGCAGTGTTGGGGGGGCCTCAATGAACGTGGTTGGGAACCACTCATTTTTTGGTGTATGATGTTCCTATGTCACTGCTCAGTGTCTTTGAATGAGAGATGTGGTATTTCGCTGTCCTTTTGTCTTATGTAACGCAAGATAACCACCGGTTCTTAAGAACTCATAAAAAATGGCATACAAAGCCTTAATTATAATGTTAACTCTCCTGTTGGATTAAAAAAAAAAAAAGAAAGAAAGAAAAAAATAATTAGTTTTTTGTTGTTGTTGTTGTGGGTCAGATTAAATGACATTGGGTTCCAAGCAATTTGCCTGAAAAGTAACACTATGAAAAACAGTAAAAATTTATGTAGAAACATAAAACTACTATGTAGCTTGTCAGAGATCAATATATAAAAGATGTCTTATATGCTCACCAAGGCTGCATTTATTTGATAAAATTTTTGAAATATTATTACAATTTAAAACAACTGCTGAACTGTTTGAACATATTTTAAAATGTAATTTATTCCTGTGATGAAAAATGTGAAGAAATAAGAAAGTCATATACACCTAGTATGGCTTGAGGGTGAGTAAATCATGGGGTCATTTTTATATTTGGGTGAACTAACCCTTTAAATAGTGAGTTGGTATTCTTGATGGGGATTGTGACATCAGGGCTGAAGTGGAAAGAGTAATGTTCAGTTGTTATGAGTTATAACTGCGTTTCACATGCCTTAATCTTATGTCCTCCGATTCATATTGAGTTCTCCCTGTGAAAACGTGCTATGAGTGTTCGAGTGTCCCGTTTCAGTCTCTTGTTTGGAGTGATGAATCTTCCGCTAAAGTTGTGATCAGAGCCATGTTTGAAGTGCTTTAATTTTCCGCAGTTGCTGTGTTTGGAGTGATGGAATCTTCCACTGAAGTGGTGTTTGGTGTGTTTGATTCTCCCACTGAGGAGTGTTTGGAGAGCAACTAACCAGATTAAAATGGAGATTTCAAGATAAGCCATGTCTTGTTGTTTATTATTATAAAATTGTAATGTTTGTTAATTGTATTTCATTTGTTTGTATTTAGGGGTGGGTTTCTTTATTTTGAACTGAATATAACGCAAGTTATGACCTCTACTCGTGCTCAACGGACATTTCTAATCGTGTTTAGTGATTTACGCTACGATGATGTAATTTCAGCTGACATTTCTAAACGGAACTGAGGACTCAAGGTATGAACATTACACAACTCTTTCTAAACGTGATATGATACGTGATACGGACTGGGAGTTTGCCGTATGCACTGTTTTTCCTGTGGGTATCATCCTACACTGTAAAAAACCCCGGTAAATTTACGGTAAAATACCGGCAGCTATGGTTGCCAGAACTTTACAGTGAAAAATACAGTAGCAACATTTTAGGTTTTACAGAACTGTTTAAACTTACAGTGAAAAACTGTATTTCATTAACTGATACAATGTTAATATGCAAACCTTTGAGTTAACTCTTTTTATTTGCAGAAACCCGACTGCACTTAATTTGGCCAATTGGCATTTGTTTATAAACTAATATTTATAATGCTTAAGTAATGCAAGCATATTGGTATTAAGAACTATTTTGCTTAAGTCCATGAAGAAAAACCTACTGATTTATGCAAAGTCATTAAAAGCATCAATTCAACTCAAATCTTTTGCAGATAACAGCAGCACACATTCATGTGCGACTGAAACTATTGAAGAGTTTCACACTGCATCAGTAACTACACAGTTACTGCCTTTAAATAAAACCACAAGCAGCATCAGTGCTTCTCTGGCCGTCCTTTACTTAAACACAGGCTCTGCTCTCCAGCACAATGGTGACCCACAAAACACAACAGGAAGTTGACTGTTAGGTTTTACAGTATTTTGTTGTTTTCTTTTCTTGATTTTACGGTGAAATACCGGCAGCTGTGGTGGCCAGTAATCTACAGTTTTTTACATTGCTTCCGTAAATTAAATTAACAGTATATTTCTGTTAAAAATATATGTCACAGTGTTTTCCTTCATCTCACACATTTAACCCCTTTAATCCCACAGCACTTATATGTCTCCACACTACAGAGTGTTGAAGTGACACTGAAGCGGTGATGAAATTAATGAGATAATTAAATGAGGATTGAGCATTAGTGATGAACACCTGTTAACAAGCAGAATCACTGAAGGAAAGAGAAACAAGAGCAGAACAACAAAACACAGCCAAAGCCAAGATCTCAGCAGAGGAGGATTAAACAGCTCCACAAACAGCATCACCAGCTTCTTATTACTAACCAGTGTGACTTTATTTCTGTCATATGTGTACAAAAGCTCTTATTGAGATTTTAGGTGTTGTACTTTCATTTGAAGTCACCATAATGGCGATCAATGTTTGCTTTAGTTGGGCTCTTGAACCTTGACTTTTTAAAAATAGTTTTTCTTTGGCTGCTTAAATTAGTTGTGTTAATTTAACGCTGTTTTTATAGCAAGAAAATCTAACAGCATCTATTATCAGATCAAACTGGTGGTTGTGATGTCAAGACCATCATGAACTAGTCTGATTCACTGATCTCACCTAATGTATAATCTCTTATTATGTAACATATAACTAATACTCTTGAGTTGCACCATTGATACTACCGCAATCATTGTGAAACATTCCTAAGCACTATATGCACAAATAAAAGTTTTAAACTATGGCAGCACTTAAACACACACAGACATCAACAGTCAGCCTATGAATCTCAAGATTGGTGATAATCAAAAAAATTGTTCATGCTGCAATGCATGCTGGGAGTTTTGTACTGGCACCCAGCATGCATTGCGGCATGTTTTTTGAGATTCATGTGCTGATTCTTGATGTCTGTGTGTCTAAACGCTGCTGTAGCTCTAAAGGTTTTGTGCATAAAATGTTTTTAAATTTCTTCACAATAGTTTGTCAATATATCTTGAGTCATATTACCATAAAAAAATTAATCAACCCATGTAATTAGACACTAATTAAGATCAGTGAATAAGGTCATGAGATGATGATTTTATCATTATTAATAATTATTAAACCCACTTCATTACAATTTATCTCGGCTCTTCTTGTCATAACAAATGTGTTTAACACACACAGAAACAACAGCAGAGAAAAACTAACATTAAAGATTCAAGGGTTAAGAGCCCAACTAAAGCAACCACTGATCGCCAAACAAAACATTTTCAATACAATAGAAACCTCAGTTAATTCTCAAATAATGTTTGTAGATATATGACAGAAATAAAGTGAGTCTGGTTAGTAATGAGTGAAGCTGGTAATGCTGTGTGTGGAGTTGTGTAATCCTCCTCTGCTGTTTTATTTCAGTTAATTTCATCTAAGGCTGTGGCTGAAGTCAGTTGTAGTTTTGTTTCTTGTTCTTTGCTTCAGTGCTTCTGCTTGTTAACAGCAGCTGTTCATCAGCGTCTGAATTCAATCATTTGTTTTCAATCACTCGGTCTAGTGGACTATATAGTGAACTAATGTAGGGAATAGTGAATGAGGGTGTAGGGTGTTATTTCAGACACAGTCTGATAGTGTTGACTCTGAGGCTACTTTCTCGAAAACAAAGGTTAGATCTATTACACTTATTCATTGTATATTGTAAGGAAACAATGTAAATCATTTAACAGGTTTTTACTGTGGCATTTGTCTTTTACCGTTAAAATCACAATAATTTTTTACAGTGTATATGTGTATTATGATGTGTGTATTATCTGACAAGTCGGGAAATGTTACCTTTATGATACGGTTGGATTGATTGTGTTGTATTGACTCTTAAGATTTGTTGTATTGTCCTGAGAAGGGAAATAATGAATTTGTGCACTTTATAAAATGGGAATATATGTGATTCACCTGCTAAGGTCTACGAAGTGTCAATTGAATTGAAGAAGAAGAAAAAAAAAGCACAAAACAACAGGATAGTAAAGGGATTCTATAAATATGTATTGGATTCCTTTGAGATGATTTAACTGAAATTTTTGCTGGCTAATATGCCAGACTCGCACCCCTTTTATTTAATAAAAATCATCACATAAAAAATGGCTGTTAAAAATTTACCTCTTTTTTGTATGTTTCTTCGGTAACACTTTATTTTGATAGTCCACTTCAGACATTCTACTAACAGTAAGTAACTTTGCTACTACATGTCAACTAGCAGTCATTCGAGTATTAGTAGACTGTCTGCTTAATATCTTCTAACACTTTATTTTGATGGTTCCACAACATACAACACACTGACTATGAGAAACTTTGAAAGTATATGTCAACGTATTCTACTAACCCTAAACCAAACCTAACAGTCCACTCTGAGAGTTAGTAGACATGTAGCTGCAAATTAATGAGAATTAGTTGACATGTAGTTGCAAAGTTACTTATAGTTAGTAGAATGTCTAAAGTGGACTATCAAAATAAAGTGTAACCTAAGTTTCTTCTTTTATCATATTTAATGCTGCACAATGTTGCACATTACAATGTAATGTTTTTTTTTTTTTTTACAATTTACAAAATGTATATAATGAGCAAATACATCATGAATCAATTTCCCAAACCGTAGTTTTGTCTTATGCTGAATCACTACAGTACAGTACATCTATAATAAATGTTTTTTCTATTTGTATTATTGTAGACCAGTTGTAGACTACAACCTATTTTTATTTAATAATACTATTAGTGCTTGAAGTGGACATGTTTCAAAGTAAAGCACTGCACTTTTGCACATTCTGCAGGCTCACAGTTTCAGAGTAAATCAATAAATACTGCACATTTGTGGCCAGCAATTTCTAATAATCCACTGTTAATGTATTATGACAATGAATGTTTACCTCATGATGCCTATATTGTGATATTTTAAAGATGGTTGTATAAGTATATATTTTATCTCTGTCACCCTTTTGAATGAGCAGCTGGAAGTACTAAAGCATAAACATTGGCTTGTTTATACAAGCTTATGTTTGTATGCTTGTTTATACATATTTCAACCTTTACAGCTAAACATTTGTCTAATTCACTAATAATATTAATAAATGTATTACATTTTTTATATTTTACATGCCTTTCAATCTGACACAGGTATACAGGAGTAATTTTTATAATAAAATAGAAAAAAAATCCTGCTTAACATACTTGAATTTGTCCAGTGTGCAGTTTGGATTGTTCAGTGTATCAGAGAGCAGCTTGACTCCTGAATCTCCCGGGTGATTGTAGCTCAGATCCAGCTCTCTCAGGTGTGAGGGGTTTGAACTCAGAGCTGAAGACAAATAACCACAGCCTTCCTCTGTCACCATACAGCCAGATAACCTACAGACAGACAACAATAGCCCACATGATATTGTTTGGCATTCTGAAATCAACCAAACAGTGCAGTATATTAAAGTTATTTTCTGCAGTTACAATAACTAGTATTTATTTTTGTTTCTAAATGTTGTAAATTCAACAGAGACATAATTTCTACATTGTCACTAGACACCAGGGGCAAAAGCTGAAATTGCTTACATATTTGTCTTATAGAAAAAGTTATTTTAACAATTGTACATATTTTACCATTTATGAGATATTATGCATTTAAACAATTTAACAAAATTCCAAGTACCATGAAGGTGCTTGTCCACATGGTAATGTCTGAAGAATTATGATGTAGTTCACAACCTTTTGCCCTTTGAATCCCCCATCGTTACATACATGTGTGATATGATTTGATATTTCTATTGGAAGTATCTGGAATTTTTAAAAACATTTTGGTAGAATAATCATTCTTACTGATTAAACATTATAACTTGTGCTATTTAAGATTTAAGAATTTTAAGATTTATTTTTGCCATATTCGCCTTTATTATGATTAGACAGTATAGAGTGTACAGGAAGCGAATTGAGAGAGAAAGAGAGACAGGGGATAGGATCGGGAATGGTCTGCCTGCCCTAACTCAGGACGCCCAAAGCACAATGGCACTATATGTCAGCACACTTGCCCACAAGGCTACCAGCACTGACAAGGGGGCTGTAATGTAAGGCTTATGTTTAGTTTTTTATTGTGCTTAATTTGGTTTTCCCTGTTTGCCTGACTTCTCATTCATTGCAAGTTGCCATGGATTCTAATTTAAGTTATGCACCTGGTCCATGTTGTTGATTAGTCCCTGTGTGTTTTTAAGTCTTTAGATTGCCTCAGTTCCTTGTCTTGTGATAATGTGTAACTGGAAGTGTGGTGCGCTCTTGTTTTTTCTGTTTAATGTTATTGTTCATTTGTCATTCTGCTTTACACATCATTCATGTAGATTTACTACGTGCTCTATGTAACATTATGCCTTTCTCTCCCAAAAGATATAGATCACCACCCTTACGAAAAAAAAAAAGTTTATTCAAGTGTGCTATTATTATACTTCTTTTAATCTAAAAAAACAAAAACATAGTGTACTTTCAGCCTACTTTTTATGTACTTCTCAGAAATATACTTAAAATGACATTAACTTGTTGGCAGTTATAGTGACAGAAAAAGTCAAAGTATATTTGGCATATGCTTGTTCTCCAACAATCCATGTTTTGACAGTTATATGCTACATTACACAACTTTTATGCATCTTCTGAAAGAGTACAGAATCTCCGGATCAAAAACACAGACAAAGAAGCAGAAACAAAACAGAAGTATTGCTTTCACATGTAATCTAACATGATCATCAAACATTAAACAGCATATAAATCAAAACATCTCAGTTACGTATGTAACCGAATTGGGGATCGCTTTGGGAGACCAGTCTACTTCGAGTGTAAGAAAAACGAGCCAATGCACATTGGCATGCGATCATTGCCACAGCTGCTCTGCACTGCAGCGCAAGTATTTAATGAGCAGCCGGTGCGTAAAGACACGTAGGAACGGCATGTGTCAAGGGAGAATCGAGACATGAAAGTACGCGTCCTTCAGGTCGATCGCTGAGTGTGGGAGAAGGCCTGGTGGAGTCCTCGACCCACACACTGCTGCCTGCTGGCAAAGAGGGAGGGGGAAGGGAGTGGCAAGGTGTTTGCAACACGTCGCACACTGCCAACCACGCCCTCTTGTGACCCAGAGATAGAGGAAATTGCTCTTTTTTTTTTTTTAAATAAGGGTACCACTGGACTCCTCGGAGCCAGCGGCGGAACGGAAACAAAGGATTCTCCACCCGGCCCTCCTCCGGGGGAGGGAGTTGTCCAGACACCATCTCCCGGAGAGCAGATCCTCCCATCTCTGGGTCGCCCGTCTCAGGGCCGCTAGCCTTTATGCTTACCGCCTGGTTTGGCGGGGGCCTGGACGCGCTGGGCATTCCCCTTACGGCCAGCCGCCTGCCGCCTAGGTGGAGGCTGCTGCTTAGGCTGAGCAGGGGTGGAGGTGGCCGCCGGGGGGGCGCCCTCGGCGACGAGCAGATGAAGGCGCTGCAGGATGTGCTTAATCACCTCCGTCTGCTTCTGTGCCGCTGAAAACTGCTGGGCAAAGTTTTCAACAGCATCGCCGAAGAGGCCGGCCTGACAGACAAGGGCGCTGAGGAACAGAACTTTGTCGGGCTCACGCATATCTGCCAGATTCAGCCACAGGTGGCGCTCCTGGACCACTAAGGGGGACATCGCCCGACCCAGGGAGCGTGCAGTGACTTTCGTCGCCCGTAGGGCAAGGTCCGTTGCTGCACGCAGTTCCTGCATAACCCCTGGGTCAGAACTACCCTTGTGCAGTTCCTTGAGCGCTTTGGCCTGGTAGACCTGCAGGAGCGCCATGGCATGCAGGGCAAGGTTTACACAGATTCTCCACAATCTGTGTAAGCCTTGCCCGCCAGAGAGGATGAGAACTTACATGCTTGGGAGGGGAGACGCGGATTACCCCGCCAAGAGGTAGCGGTCTTGGGAAACAGTTGCATTGCCACAGACCGCTCCACTGGGGGGAGCTCCACGTACCCCTTAACCGCCCAATCATCGAGGGAGGAAAAAGGTGCCGTCCACGATTTAGTCACCTCTTTATGCACCTCCGGAAAGAAAGGTACTGGGGCGGAGCACTGAGAACCAGCACAGGCCGCTCCAAGAAACCAATCGTCCAGGGCAGCCCGGGAAAGCATAGTAGCCATCTCTGGGTCTGACTCGGGCAACGCTGCCACAGCCGAAGGGGGCAGCGCAGCCGAATCTTCATCCCCAGAGGACATACACTCACCCTCCGATGCAGCGACCGACATCTGGTCCTCTGGAGGATCCCCAAAAGTGACGACTGGTGCCGCACGAGGCGGACCAGCACGCCCTCTTGGAGGCTCCACTGGTTGCAGTGTCATGGAGGAGTGAGGTGCCCGAGGAGTTTGACTGTAATCCTCAGGTCACCTAAGTTATTAACCGAAGTAGGCTTCTTCTGAGCTGGCCCAGAAGAAGAACTAGATCGGGGAATATAAAAGGGGCTCCAGTCCTTTCAAGATACTGGAGTCTCGACCTTAAAACCGAGATGGTCATGTTCCCGCAGTGAGAACATGCACCATCCATGAGTGCCACCTCAGCATGTGCGAGGCCCAAACACGTGAGACAGTAATCATGACCATCACCGGGGGCCAGGTAGCGACCACATTCAGTAGCACACGGTCTGAATGACATCTTGAAAAAGACGCAGGATCAAACCGTGTGCTCTTTTAGGAATTTGCTCTCTACTGGTGCTGAAACGCACAGAGGAAATGGCCGCAGCTACACAACAGTACAAATAGTGCAAGCCTGTTGTGAGCACTCACACTCTTTGAAGGCGCACTCTCCAGCAAGCTGTGAGAACAGCTGTTTTTGATCTCTCGTGAGATCGTGACCAAGACTGTCAGCGCTGTCACACACGCACCAGACACGCAGAGGCTCCTTCTCAACAAGCAGCTCGTCTTCCACCACTTTCCAAAGAAAGCACACGCGCAGGAACAGCACATGTGTTCGGCTCCGAAGCAAAAAGCAAATATGCGACGCACCGGCTGTTTGTTAAATACTCGCACTGCAGCGCAGAGCAGCTATGGCAATTATCGCATGCCAATGTGCATTGGCTCGTTTTTCTTACACCCGAAGTAGATTGGTCTCCCAAAGCGATCCCCAATTCATCGGTCAGTTCCGACGTACGTCGAACATGACCTAATGAAAGGGAACTGTGTATCATTATGGAGTGAAATGTCGACCCATAAAGAGGTAATGACTGCCATGCTTTGGGGGTGTTGATGGACCCGATCTACATTTTGATTATCATTCTGAATCCAATTCAGTAGTCTTTTTTTATATATAATATTTTTAATATTTAATATTTTTGACGATGTTGTTGTTTTTCAAAGGCAGAGGCTTTTCTCTTTCTTTTGATATACTGTTCAGGTTTTCAAACAACAAATTATTTTGGGGGCCATGAAAGTTTTGTGAAAATGTTCAAAAACAGTGGGGCTGGCTGGCAAGTATTTATGAAAAATTTTTAAAATAAAACTCTGCTGGGGAAAGAGTGTACTTTCATAAACATAAAAAAGTGCTTCAAGTATTTAACTAATCTTCCAGTATACATATAACTTCACTTCTAGTGTAGTTGCACTACAAACTAACAACAGAACACTAAGGAGACTGTCTAAACATTTGAATAATTCATTGATAAACTAGTGATTTATTTGTTTTCAGCTGCAGTGATGAAGGTAATCATCTCGTCAGTAGTGGACCTAATGCATGTTTAATACGGATTACATAATCTGAGGATATTTGTTTTCCATTGGTTTATGCAAGTAAAAGTGGACATTTAGCTTTCTATAGAGATATTTTCATGTCTGTGAGGCAAGTATACAGGGAGATTCGGTTCTTTTTTTCCTGATGCGCTCAAGTTCACAGAGACCAAGATGGCATAGCACACCGTTTGTTTTCATTATTTTACAAAAGTGTAACATTTTGTCGTTATTATGTACACAATTAAAAGTAGAGTCTTTGAAGATCTGAAAGATGTATAACTTTTGTCTGTACGACCAAAAATGACAGCATATTTTTAGTGCAAGTGATCACATCGGCGCCTCCATGTTATCTGTCATGCAGTGAGCGCGCTACTATTCAGCTTCCACACTCCACACAAACACTTGAATATCGCGCATTCCTCAAGGTTAGAATTAGAGCAAGAGGTTGCAACTACTTACGCTCGATGTAATGTATATGACCACTTAGACCAGGTGTTAACGATCTGTCTGTAACAGTCTGCGTGTCACGAATCCTGTCCATGGACTTCTGTTCAATCACCACCAGAGGTCACCCTTCCATTACAGTGACTCTCGCACAACACAAACTGTTGCATGTCATCCCGGATCACATATCCCATCAGCCATGGCACTGATTGCACACAGCACTGATTGCACACAGCTGTCATCAATCACACATTCACTATATAACACTCACTCAAACAGCCATTCTCTGCCGAGTATTGTATGCGCTTATTGCCAGCAGTGATAGCTACTCTATAGAGCCCTCTTTAGCTGCCTAGCCTAGCCTAGCCTAGCCTAGCCTAGCCTAGTCTTGCTTTGTCTGTTTTTCCATCTCTGGGTCGCCCGTCTCAGGGCCGCTAGCCTTTATGCTTACCGCCTGGTTTGGCGGGGGCCTGGACGCGCTGGGCATTCCCCTTACGGCCAGCCGCCTGCCGCCTAGGTGGAGGCTGCTGCTTAGGCTGAGCAGGGGTGGAGGTGGCCGCCGGGGGGGCGCCCTCGGCGACGAGCAGATGAAGGCGCTGCAGGATGTGCTTAATCACCTCCGTCTGCTTCTGTGCCGCTGAAAACTGCTGGGCAAAGTTTTCAACAGCATCGCCGAAGAGGCCGGCCTGACAGACAAGGGCGCTGAGGAACAGAACTTTGTCGGGCTCACGCATATCTGCCAGATTCAGCCACAGGTGGCGCTCCTGGACCACTAAGGGGGACATCGCCCGACCCAGGGAGCGTGCAGTGACTTTCGTCGCCCGTAGGGCAAGGTCCGTTGCTGCACGCAGTTCCTGCATAACCCCTGGGTCAGAACTACCCTCGTGCTGTTCCTTGAGCGCTTTGGCCTGGTAGACCTGCAGGAGCGCCATGGCATGCAGGGCAAGGTTTACACAGATTCTCCACAATCTGTGTAAGCCTTGCCCGCCAGAGAGGATGAGAACTTACATGCTTGGGAGGGGAGACGCGGATTACCCCGCCAAGAGGTAGCGGTCTTGGGAAACAGTTGCATTGCCACAGACCGCTCCACTGGGGGGAGCTCCACGTACCCCTTAACCGCCCAATCATCGAGGGAGGAAAAAGGTGCCGTCCACGATTTAGTCACCTCTTTATGCACCTCCGGAAAGAAAGGTACTGGGGCGGAGCACTGAGAACCAGCACAGGCCGCTCCAAGAAACCAATCGTCCAGGGCAGCCCGGGAAAGCATAGTAGCCATCTCTGGGTCTGACTCGGGCAACGCTGCCACAGCCGAAGGGGGCAGCGCAGCCGAATCTTCATCCCCAGAGGACATACACTCACCCTCCGATGCAGCGACCGACATCTGGTCCTCTGGAGGATCCCCAAAAGTGACGACTGGTGCCGCACGAGGCGGACCAGCACGCCCTCTTGGAGGCTCCACTGGTTGCAGTGTCATGGAGGAGTGAGGTGCCCGAGGAGTTTGACTGTAATCCTCAGGTCACCTAAGTTATTAACCGAAGTAGGCTTCTTCTGAGCTGGCCCAGAAGAAGAACTAGATCGGGGAATATAAAAGGGGCTCCAGTCCTTTCAAGATACTGGAGTCTCGACCTTAAAACCGAGATGGTCATGTTCCCGCAGTGAGAACATGCACCATCCATGAGTGCCACCTCAGCATGTGCGAGGCCCAAACACGTGAGACAGTAATCATGACCATCACCGGGGGCCAGGTAGCGACCACATTCAGTAGCACACGGTCTGAATGACATCTTGAAAAAGACGCAGGATCAAACCGTGTGCTCTTTTAGGAATTTGCTCTCTACTGGTGCTGAAACGCACAGAGGAAATGGCCGCAGCTACACAACAGTACAAATAGTGCAAGCCTGTTGTGAGCACTCACACTCTTTGAAGGCGCACTCTCCAGCAAGCTGTGAGAACAGCTGTTTTTGATCTCTCGTGAGATCGTGACCAAGACTGTCAGCGCTGTCACACACGCACCAGACACGCAGAGGCTCCTTCTCAACAAGCAGCTCGTCTTCCACCACTTTCCAAAGAAAGCACACGCGCAGGAACAGCACATGTGTTCGGCTCCGAAGCAAAAAGCAAATATGCGACGCACCGGCTGTTTGTTAAATACTCGCACTGCAGCGCAGAGCAGCTATGGCAATTATCGCATGCCAATGTGCATTGGCTCGTTTTTCTTACACCCGAAGTAGATTGGTCTCCCAAAGCGATCCCCAATTCATCGGTCAGTTCCGACGTACGTCGAACATGACCTAATGAAAGGGAACTGTGTATCATTATGGAGTGAAATGTCGACCCATAAAGAGGTAATGACTGCCATGCTTTGGGGGTGTTGATGGACCCGATCTACATTTTGATTATCATTCTGAATCCAATTCAGTAGTCTTTTTTTATATATAATATTTTTAATATTTAATATTTTTGACGATGTTGTTGTTTTTCAAAGGCAGAGGCTTTTCTCTTTCTTTTGATATACTGTTCAGGTTTTCAAACAACAAATTATTTTGGGGGCCATGAAAGTTTTGTGAAAATGTTCAAAAACAGTGGGGCTGGCTGGCAAGTATTTATGAAAAATTTTTAAAATAAAACTCTGCTGGGGAAAGAGTGTACTTTCATAAACATAAAAAAGTGCTTCAAGTATTTAACTAATCTTCCAGTATACATATAACTTCACTTCTAGTGTAGTTGCACTACAAACTAACAACAGAACACTAAGGAGACTGTCTAAACATTTGAATAATTCATTGATAAACTAGTGATTTATTTGTTTTCAGCTGCAGTGATGAAGGTAATCATCTCGTCAGTAGTGGACCTAATGCATGTTTAATACGGATTACATAATCTGAGGATATTTGTTTTCCATTGGTTTATGCAAGTAAAAGTGGACATTTAGCTTTCTATAGAGATATTTTCATGTCTGTGAGGCAAGTATACAGGGAGATTCGGTTCTTTTTTTCCTGATGCGCTCAAGTTCACAGAGACCAAGATGGCATAGCACACCGTTTGTTTTCATTATTTTACAAAAGTGTAACATTTTGTCGTTATTATGTACACAATTAAAAGTAGAGTCTTTGAAGATCTGAAAGATGTATAACTTTTGTCTGTACGACCAAAAATGACAGCATATTTTTAGTGCAAGTGATCACATCGGCGCCTCCATGTTATCTGTCATGCAGTGAGCGCGCTACTATTCAGCTTCCACACTCCACACAAACACTTGAATATCGCGCATTCCTCAAGGTTAGAATTAGAGCAAGAGGTTGCAACTACTTACGCTCGATGTAATGTATATGACCACTTAGACCAGGTGTTAACGATCTGTCTGTAACAGTCTGCGTGTCACGAATCCTGTCCATGGACTTCTGTTCAATCACCACCAGAGGTCACCCTTCCATTACAGTGACTCTCGCACAACACAAACTGTTGCATGTCATCCCGGATCACATATCCCATCAGCCATGGCACTGATTGCACACAGCACTGATTGCACACAGCTGTCATCAATCACACATTCACTATATAACACTCACTCAAACAGCCATTCTCTGCCGAGTATTGTATGCGCTTATTGCCAGCAGTGATAGCTACTCTATAGAGCCCTCTTTAGCTGCCTAGCCTAGCCTAGCCTAGCCTAGTCTTGCTTTGTCTGTTTTTCTTGGTTTCTGATCTTTGCCTGTTTTCCTGGATTTATCCCTTTAGTCTCGCCCTTGTGATTCTGTTCGCTGACCGACGCTAGCCCAAGGACTATTCTTGTGTCTTGCCCGCCATATACCTGTTTGCCACTGTTCGACCCTGCCGGTGTTTCTGACCTCCTCTGCTGTTAATAAAGCTTGCACATGGCTCCGCACGTCTCACGTCTTGTCAGCCCCGTAACACTGCATGCTGTTAATTTTTATTTTTATATTTTTTCTGCAACTAATAAAATCTTGGTCGTCTAAGCCTCTTCTTGTTGACTAGTCTACTATTAGGGGGCAATCCAAATTTATTTATTTTCTTTTAATATATATTATGAACAGAACTTGTGTGATATTTTATTGCAGATTGAAATACTTTCAGTAAATTTCCCCAGGGAGCAAAGACAGAATATTCAGAATATTTCTGATATCAGTGAGCGAGGAGCGGAGCACGGAGCAGGAAATGGTGAACCCAGAGCAAAGCTGGAGCGGAGTGATTACTGAAAGCTTAGAGCGCAGAGGGGAAATTGTTGCCACTCCACTCCACTGACATACTCTGTTTCCAACACCCTTAATTCATCTTAAAATGTAGCATGAGTCGAATTCTCAAAACGCGGATGATCAAACCGATTGATCAGAACCAACTATGCAAACGTGACTTGAGCAGTACGTTTCACAGTGGTAAGTAGTCTTTGTGTATAGCCTGTGTTGTACTCTCCCACTCTTATTCCTAATTTTTAGAAGGCCAAATAAAGCGATTTTGCTTTCGCGTTGAAACACAGCATCTCTGCCACATGAAGTCTAATCTTTTCTCTTTGCGTATGCCTTTGGGTGTGTATTATGCTAATATACCACATAGTGACAGATATTTGAGAGGAAGAATTTGATCGTATTAAGTAATTTATGGTGTTAGTGTTTTGTTAATTATTTAATAGAAAAGCACTTACTTCAGGATCTCCAACTTACAGTTTGGACTCTTCAATCCATCAGAGAGAAACTTTACTCCTGAATCTAGCAGATCATTGTTACTCAGGTCCAGCTCTCTCAGGATAGAGTTTGGGGATTGTAAAACTGAAGACAAACTTCTGCAACAATGATCAGTGAGATAACAGCTATGTAGCCTGTGTAGGGAACAAAACAAACAGATATATAATGTGTTTATCAGGCAGGGTTTATAGTGTCTGTACCACTTGGAATCTTTGAACGGGTCCCACTTTATATTAGGTGGCCTTAACTACTATGTACCTACATTTAACTCCTTCATTTGGTACAATGCACTTATTGTGTACATACATGTTTTTACATTGTACTTTTATTTTAAAAATACTTGCATGCAATTACATCTGTTGACCCATCCCTTACACCTTAACCCACCCTTAAACCTACCCATACCACCAAACCTGTCCTTAACCTTACCCGTATCCCACCTCAATAGCAGCAAAAGTGTTTTGCAATACAATATGAACACTGTCACAAATTCAGCCTCTGTGGCTCCCTCCGATCACCACTAGTGGGAACCATCACCGGAGTACTGAGCAATCCCTTCGAACTCCAGTTCCCACAATGCCCTATGCCAGAGTCTAATCACCTGCACAGGTGTTTCCTATTTGCCTGCTTAAACTGTGCCTTCCCTGCTCTCATTGCGAAGTCTTGTTTTGCCTTGCAGACATTTCTGAGCATTTACCCTGTGTTGTATACCTGTTGATTACCTGGCCTGTGTACCCGTTTATGATTGCTTGCTGCCTACCTATTATGACCCTGCCTGCCTTGTTGATTCATGCCATTGATTGTCTGCCGCCTGCCTCGACCCTGATTACGAACACTGTTTACGATTCTGCCCAGATTTCGTTGTTTCTAACGCCAGTTAACGATCTATGCCTGTATGACCTGCCTTGTGAACTAATAAAGCTGCACATGGATCCTAACGCCACTGCCTCTTTGTTACAAACACAATAAGTACATTGTACTTAATTTTTGATGTAAGTACATAGTTAAGGCCACCTAATATAAAGTGCGACCCTTTCAAAAACCTATATAGGGATGAGAGAGATTTCTGTCCCTCCATTGATAGTCCACACAACTACCACTTTGGTGCTTCAAAAAGTTCTTAAAATGAATCCATATGAATTCACATTTATTGAAGAGACACAATCGTTAGTTTAGGCTTTTATTCGTATATGAACATTCATTAATGCACACATCAGATATTGTAAATGGAAGCTAAATGGAAGAAGTGTTGGTCACACTGTGACTTCACAGCACTGGAATGGAGAAGCACCACATTGACATTTCCTCCTCATCTGCCATAGCAATGTGGGTGCTTCAGTACAATACACTCTAAAAAATGGTGCTATATAGCACTAAAAGCGGTTTTTTGGCTTGTAATCATAGGGGAACCACTTTTAGTGCTATTTAGCACCTATTTTTACAGGTGCTATATAGCACCTTAACCACTCCAAAGAACCGCTGAAGAACCTTTTTAGAGTGTACATCATGCACACATTCAGAAAGACAAATATACCAGTTTATAATGTTTACTTTGATATGCTAAGTGTAAAAACACCCAAACTCAGTTCTGGCAGAAAATGTACCTGGTGCAGGTACGTTGGATGGGTTTATTATAAACGAGATGCTCATGATAACAATTGTCAGAACTGCCACAACTCTAAAGTCTTGAAATGTGAATATTTTTTTGTGAGTATCAATGTGTGTGTGTGATTCTCAGAGAGATGAACTTACTTCAGTGTTTCCAGTTTACAATGAGGATCCTTCATTCCAGCAGAGAGCAGATTAACTCCTGATGCTCCTGGTTTATTCCATGACAGATCCAGTTCTCTCAGGTGCGAGGGGTTTGATCTCAGAGCAGTGGTAAGAGCTACACAACCTTCATCTGTGACACCACAATATCTTAACCTGTAGAAAACATTGACACCCTTTATTCTTGCAGTTTAACTCAAATAAGCCATAGCTTTACAATAAAAAGATGGCACATTTAACGGGTCCAGTCTAAGGTTCTCAAATTGCATTTTAGACTGCACCTACAGTTATGGCCAGAATTATCCACACTTAACTATGATCAAAGATGGCTGTAAAAATAAATCTGCATGGTTTATCCTTTTGATCTTTCATTAAAAAAATTAGCAAAAATCTAACATTTTATTAAAATAAAAATAATTAATTTAATTAACTATCTAAACCCACATGTACCAATACAACAAAATATGTCCCTAATCTTATTCGTATGCCAACTTAATTTTGCAATACATCATGAACACAATAAGTACATTGTACTTAATATTTTTAAGTACAGCTAAATCACCTAATCTTCATTAGAATTAATGAGTTACAGGTGCATCTCAATAAATTAGAATGTCTTGAAAGGAGGACTTTGGACCACTGGGCAACAGTCCAGTTCTTCTTCTCCTTAGCCCAGGTAAGATGCCTCTGATGTTGTCTGTGGTTCAGGAGTGGCTTAACAAGAGGAATATGACAACTGTAGCCAAATTCCTTGACATGTCTGTGTGTGGTGGCTCTTGATGCCTTGACCCCAGCCTCAGTCCATTCCTTGTGAAGTTCACTCAAATTCTTGAATTGATTTTGCTTGACAATCCTCATAAGGCTGCGGTTCTCTCGGTTGGTTGTGCATCTTTTTCTTCCACACTTTTTCCTTCCACTCAACTTTCTGTTAACATGCTTGGATACAGCACTCTGTGAACAGCCAGCTTCTTGGCAATGAATGTTTGTGGCTTACCCTCCTTGTGAAGGGTGTCAATGATTGTCTTCTGGACAACTGTCAGATCAGCAGTCTTCCCCATGATTGTGTAGCCTTGTGAACCAAACTGAGAGACCATTTTGAAGGCTCAGGAAACCTTTGCAGGTGTTTTGAGTTGATTAGCTGATTGGCATGTTACCATATTCTAATTTGTTGAAATAGTGAATTGGTGGGTTTTTGTTAAATGTGAGCCAAAATCATCACAATTAAAAGAACCAAAGACTTAAACTACTTCAGTTTGTGTGCACTGATTTTATTTAACACACAAGTTTCACAATCTGAGTTGAATTACTGAAATAAATGAACTTTTCCACGACATTCTAATTTATTGAGATGCACCTGTATATGCAATAAAAGGGGACCTTATATTATATAGAACTCATTAATTCCAGTAGGAGGTGATTGAGAATGTTTATACAATTTTTATGTTTATACAATCTTACCACAGTGCTACCAGTTTACAGTGAGAATCTTTGAGTCCAGCAGAGAGCAGCTTCACTCCAGTGTCTCCTATGTTATTCTGAATCAGATCTAGTTCTCTCAGGTTTGAGGGGTTTGATCTCAGACATGAAGCCAGAGAAGCACAACCTTCATCCGTGACACAGCAATAATTCATACTGTACAGAAAATGCAAATGTAATTTATGCAGGCAGTAAAACATACATAAAAACATCATTAGAGAACAGACAGTAAAAATCTAGGCTATTTTCTGTCAATTCTGATCCCCCTTACATTCAAATCTTCATCTTTATCTTACACACTAACATCCAGCCCTCACACAGACCACATAAAAACCTTGTCAGCTGCTTGAGTGTATCTCTCACACACATTAAACACATGTTGTAAGTATTACTTACTGAACTGATCTGGATTCTTTAATCACAGGCAGCAGCTTCTGAAGAACTTCATCTGCTGTATGTTGAGCTCCAATAAACTGTTTTAGATCAAACACATCCATCTTCTGCTCTGATGTCAGCAACACATAAACCAGAGCTGACCACTGTGAAGAGGAGAGTTTGGTTTCTCTTATTTCTCCAGATCTCAGGTAATCTTGGATCTCCTGCATCAGTGAATCATCACCCAGTTCATTCAGACAGTGGAACAGATTGATGGATTTCTCTGGAGAGCGATTCTCCCTGATCTTCTGTATGATGTACTGAACTGTTTCCTCTTTGTTGTAGGAGCAGCATCTTGCCTGAGTCGGTAGTTTTTTCAAGAGAGCCTGATTGGACTCCATTGAGAGACCCATAAGGAAACGCAGGAAAAGATCCAGATGTCCATTCTTGCTCCGTAAAGCATCATCTACAGCTTTCTGATGTAACTTAGATACTGAACTCATCCATTTGAAAACTTTGGAGAACAGACTTTGTTTGGTTTGGTCAAACACATTGTAGTTGTTGTTGGTAAATGAGAGATGTGCATACAGAGCTGCTAGATGTTCCTGAATGCTCAGATGAACAAAGCAGAAGACTTTCCCCTGATACAAGCCCAACTCCTCTCTGAAGATCTGAGTGCACAATCCTGAGTACACTGATGCTTCTGTCACATCAATGCCACACTCTCTCAGGTCTTCCTCATAGAAGATCAGATTTCCCTTCACAAGCTGCTGAAAAGCCAGCTTCCCCAGTTTGAGGATCATGTCTTCATCTGTCACCTTCTTCTCATAGTCCTTCT